CCCCTCCCTTCCCTCCCTTCCCTCCCTTCCCTCCCTTCCCTTCCTTCCCTTCCTCCCTCCCTCCCTCCCTCCCTCCCTCACGTCCTTCGCTCCTTCTCTTCCTTCCATAGGGACCCAAAATGGAAATAGCACCTTTGTATGCAGTTTACAGAGAAGCTTGGTACCCGAAATGTACAAATGATTCAGCAATGAAATCATAAAAAACCTCATCAAATAGCAATCGCCCTCGTTAGAGTTAGAATGATGACAAGCTTTATGTGGTTATGAGAATGGTTAGGTTATTAGTCAACATAGTAATAGTGGGTGGGGCAACGGGGTTGCCTGTTCATGACCTTGTTGGGACAGAACGGTTTTACGCTGATCCCCTTAAGAGTCCGTAAATGACAATTCCTACTGCAGGATCTCTGAATTCTCTTGGTACCACCGTGGACGGCGTGGAGTAATTTTCCCACAGTAAGTACGCTTTCTCCTGTGTGTACCCTCTATGTGTGAGTTCATTACTGCTGACAGAAGTGGATCGATTAGCACTTGCCCTTATGTTTTGCTGGGGTCCATGAACTTCACCATAGCCCGAATAGCTCGCGATCCTCTTCCATTCTTTTCACAACAGCAGCAGCCTAGCCATAGGCGCCACAGTCTTAACTTAATTGATTGAATTGGGGAAGGGATCTAAGTGTCTGATAAGCGCAGGCTGCAATTCTCTAAAATCAAAGGGTCGAAGAGTGAGACTTGTGAGATTTTTCAGTTCGTATTTCAATTTTGATTTTTTTGGTACCATATTTTGATCTGCATCGATGTCGATTAGGAATTCCTTGAACTGGGTCTGGCGTCCAATCTGGAAATCAAATGAGATTATGAGAACAAGTCGGATGCGCTGCGGCTTCGCTCACGGCCGAGCGCGTACAGCCGTACATAGTAGGAAGTCACCCACATAGGCTGGAAGGAAGAGAACAGTACAAATCAGGATGCGGATAGTACAGAGTTATGTGTTCCAAGTCACCGGGTAACCATGATGCACAACAACCCGGAGGTTTTAGAGACAGTATGTGAGAGAGTCAGCTAGGCACACAGCTGAAAACAGCAAATTACAAGTAGAGGAAATCAGCACAGTTCTGCGTGTGCACAGTCACAGAGAGTTCGGATGAATGCTGTCTGATAATGCAACTGAGTACCCCCGGTACCATCTCCTTCCTCTCCTCCTCTCCTGCTCTCCTCCTCTCCTCCTCTCCTCCTCTCCTCCCTCCCTCCTCCCTCCCGCCCTCCTCCCCCCCTGTTGATCATCTCCTCCCAAGACAGTAGCCTGGCATCCTTCTCTCTCTCTCTCTCTCTCTCTCTCTCTCTCTCTCTCTCTCTCTCTCTCTCTCTCTCTCTCTCTCTCTCTCTCTCTCTCTCTCTCTCTCTCTCTCTCTCTCTCTCTGCCCTCTTCCTTTACCCTCCTGCATGCCACAATGCATGCACTTCAAGGGAAATTGCAAGTGGGATGCACAGAGGGGCAAGTCAAAACAACTGCTGGGCAAACCCAGCACATCGAGGGGGACACATTAAAGACTGGGTGGCTCTTGCCTCACCGGAAAAGGAAAAAACACTGACTGGTCCTATGGTTCCGGAGTCCTTCATCTGAAAAGTGAACTACCGCTCCCAGATAAAATAAAACCCTTCCCAACCGACTTTCCCAACGGTTAGCCGATTTGTTATGATCCTGGCCAATTTTGAAGTACACATTCATGACAAAGTACCATGCCGTCCAATTGCAAACCACTCTCCTCTTGCTTATCTCCTCCCCTCTTATTCAAACAATAGATAATAATAATAGTGTTGAATGGCTGAACCAGAATCAATGTCCGAATCCCTCTTCTACTGGAGGTACAACATGACGTCCACCATAGCCATGGCCACCCTTCTCCTTCCTCTTCCTGAAGGCTGAGGCTATGGCGGACTACTAGGGCCTTGCCCTGATGTGCAAAAGACAACTCAAAGCAGCTATGGCTGCTCTAGCTCAGGCCGCCATGCCTGACTCTGCCTTGAAGCTTATTGGTGTAGCTCTAACCCAGCTGGGGCCTTCCAGATGCAGCGCCCACCAAGGTGATGAAGATGGCATCCACCATAGCCAGGTAAGTACCTCTGCGCTTCCCCTTCCTAGTCCTCGTCTTCCTCCTCCAGCCCGTGCTCCTCACCATAGCCGTGGTGGGGAGCTGGGCGCTCCTTCTTCCCCAGCAGTGTTGTTCCAACCTGCGCTCCAAGCAGTGTGTCGCCAAACTTGCACACCGATGAACGAGGAGGAGCCCCTTGCTCCTCCTGGAGATATGGCGGCCTGCTTGCCTCTTGGGCGGTGACTTCCAGGCCTTGCGGCCTCCAAGCAAACCGTACCTCCTCTCGTTTGGAGGGAAACATCGTTGCGGACTCTAATATTGCCCTTACAAGCCCTAGACTCAGACTGGTTGGACTGGTACCCGCCTAGACCTAGCCTACAAGTACTGGGCCTCTAAAAATGCCAACTTTTGTCTTCTTCTGCTTGGCCTTGAGTACCCGACACATCTACCTCTACTTGGTGTGGTACCAGCCTACCTGCTACTTGAGTGTTTTTCCGCTGCTCTAAGTGCCGCAGGCCTATTTTCCCCCCACTTGAGTGTTTTCCCCGCTGCAACCCTCAATGTCACGGCCACAGGTAAGTATCGGCCCTGCAGTAGGGACGGGTACCCTTGCTGGTCACACACACAATCAAATCGAGTCAAACAGGCATTTAGACCAGCAAGCACGCACACACACATACTTAGAAAACTCAGCAACAAGCGGGAAACTCAGCAAGGCATACATTCCGTTGGCAAAACTCAGAAATCAGCTGTATGCCTCAGTCCGTGTTTGGCAGGTCCTTACACTACCCCCCCCTCAAGAGCGAGGTCCCTTCGAGTGAGTAACTCATTCTTGAGTCCATGACAAACACATCGCAAGTGAACATAGCGAAGAGATTTCGTGAGTACTCAGTAGCAGTGAGTTTTGCAGAAATTTTGGGAACAACATTGGAAGCTATCTGTCGTTCGTATGTTTTCACTACAAGAGGTGCGCGAAGCAGGAGTTCCTTCTTAGAGATCCAGTAAAGATCATCCAACTGATGGTACATGAAATGAACCTGATATTGTCTATTACGTCCCTCCCCAATGTGACTCTCGTGACCGCCATTGATTTTACGAGGGATCATGTTCTCACGATATTTGAATGATTTAGCATCACGATATATAAACAACTTTGACGCGTCAAAGACTGGGTACGCGTGCAGATGAGAAGGCATGACAATTACATATGAAGGACCGGACTTATCATCACCAATTACATCCAGAACTTCCCACGGACCATAATAGAGAGAAAGAAGTTTGCGTGACATCCTCTCTTCCTCCGAAAATTATGACATCTTGACCCAAACATAACTTCCCACTTCGATTGTCAAAGGTTTGCGCTTCTTATTCGCATGATGGATCATGGTGTGCCGTCGCTTGGTCAGTGCTGGTATGGCAACCTTAACCAAGTGATCATACTTGGCGCTGAAGCCAGGCCTGCTAGGTGTCAGACCAACCAGTTGTTCAAGGAATAAGAAGGAGAGCGGATTGCGGATGTGCCAAACGTAATGCAGCCTGTTTGGCGTCATGTCGGTGGAAGAATGAACGGAGTTGTTATACAACCCCTCGAACGAATACAACTCTCCATCCTACGTTTCCTGGTCAAGATAATTAAGGCACGGAGAAGCTGAAACACAGCCTGGTTAATTTCCTCAGCCAAACAATTGGCTTCGGAAGGTTAACCAGATGTCATCCTCACTTTGAGGCAAAGAGTAAATTCCTTCCAATCAGTACTTACGAAGTGCGGGTCCCGATCACTCACAAGGGTTTTCGAGGTCCCGAACTGCAGAATGTAATTCTGGTGGAACTCACGGATCACGAGTATAGTTGGGGCATGCGGTGGCAATGAAATCAGATTTAGGAATTTGGAAAAACGATCAACAATCACCATCACTTGCGAATAACCATTCTCACTTGTCTTTCCTATGTCTGTGAAGTCGATAGAGACGGAGTCCCCGGGACCGTCTAGAATGGGAAGAGGTTTGAGCAGCTCCATGCGCTTTTGCCTCGATATTTTGATTCGTTGACAAACTTGGCACTCAACCACAAACTTTTCAACAAATCCTTTCATACCGGGCCAGTCAAATTGTTGTAGCAGGTTTCCGTAGCTTTTGCAATGCCAAAGTGTCCACTCCGATCGTCAGCCAAATCCAAGAAGCGCGTGCAAAGAGGGTCATGGTTGGGTATGCACAAACGGTCATTCTTTCCGTAGCGTAAAAAAAACAAACCTTCGCATTTGTGAAAATCAGGCCGACTGCTGGGTTCAGCCCGCACCTGGTAAAGAATTGGACTGATGTCGGATCCTTGGCAGTTTGCTCCACGAGGTCCTCCTTCAGTTTCTTCCGGAGCTATGAAACCGTATGAGCGCGCATGAGCACGAGCACACGCGCTTAAAGACGCGCCCCCCCGTGCTCAAACACGCTCAAAGCGCTTTAAGGCGCGCACGCTCGTCAAAAAAAGAGAGCGCGCGCATCATGGGGTTACGCAATGGGAGGGGATGTCGTGGGGGCCGTTGCGCAGAAAAAAAAAGTTGGGTGGGGG